GTGCTTTTCCTCCTGGCTGTGGTTCTAGCCATCGCGCTTCGACTGCGACACTCCTCCAGCTCAGCTGCCTGGGGCTGCTTCCAGTCAGAAGTTGTGGTTCCCCCCAACTACAGCGAGGGGACGTTGCCCTATTCCTACAATGTATGCGTTGCCTCACAGTCAGCTAAGACAGAGTTTAACTTTCTCAATGTGACTCCGGAAGTGGCTCCTCAGGATCTCCTCTGTGACAACGGCTCCTGGGTACCAGATTCTCTTGGAGACAATGAGGTTCCTTTTGTCTCAGATTCTATCTCCAAGGTGAGCTTCAATTTAATCCGTTCTTATACATAGGGTTTCCTTGTTTCCTAATAAATCACTAGGTGGTTTTTGGTGGTTTCGTCGTATATTTGTCTTGTGAGTCAGCCTTGAACAATGTTATGCCTTAAGTATGATAATCTTATTCAACCATGTCTTAAAGAAGGGTTTCTGCCTCGAGTGTGAGGTTTACTTACCCATAATTAAAAGTATTCACAGCATGGGATACTGCGTTTATGTTCCACTGTCTCCCCCAAAGCTCATCATCTTGGAAGCTTAGCGATTCTTTTCATGTCAGATATCAAATTTGGTTCTCCTTCCTCTTAGACTCAGTGATTCAGAGTAAACATGGTCCTCAGCTTGCTGGTTTGAAAACTGGATAGGAAGGAAACACATCACTCAAGGTGGTAGCTTGTTTTCAGCGAAGCATGGTGGGTAGCATCCTGTTTGACTGAGTTGTCGCCAAACATTGTGAGGGTCTTACAAGCAAAATATCTTGGGGTTCCTGGAAGCTTGTTCCAATTTTTGTTTTTGTTTTATGTGAATTGAGTGTTTTGCTTGCATGCATGTCTGTGCGCCGGTGTCTCTGGTACCCACAGAGGCTAGAAGAAGGCATTGGAGCCTCTGGAATGGGAGTTGGCAGATGGTTGTGAGGCAAAATGTGGGTGCTGGGAATTGAACCCAGGTTCTCAGGAAGAGCAGCCATTGATCTTAACTGGCAAGCCATCTTTCTAGCTGCTCCCAGGTTTCTTTTTGGAGGATGGGCAAAATATGAAGTCGGAGGTGTCTATTATGAAGAGTCAATTTTATTAATAAATTGAGAAATGATCCTCATGCATTTTAATAACTTGAGGAAAAGTTTGTGACCTATGCTCATGTCAATTTCTACCAATATGTCTAAAATCATATGGTTCAGATTATTTACTCATTTATTCATGCATTTACTTATTGATGGCACCAAGGATCAAATCCCAGGTCTCATGCTTCCACAGCAAGCACGCTACCAACTGAGCCCTACCCCAAGCCCAAGGTTATAAAATTATAGGTATCAAATAAATTTTCCTGTTGATGAGTTACTAGGTAGAATTTGCTTTTCTCACAAGAGGGGCTTTCTGAGCTGTTTTTTGTTTAACACCATGACTTTTAAAATAACATCTGTTATTCTCCAAGGGTTATGACATTAAATATCTGCCTCAAAACAAATAGGCTACTCACTACTGCTAACTAAAAACCTCTGACTTCCCTCCATGGGAAATAAATGAAGACCCGCATTCACTATACTGGTTGCTACCAAAATCCCATCTCAGTAAAATGTCTACAAGTATTTAGAATACAGTAATGGGAAACCATAAATAATGCAAGTAACACAACTCAGACCTTGCGTCTGAGACAGGAAAAGTGCTGATAGCCTTAGATTGAACACTTGGAAATTTTCTCAAAGACTTCACAAGTACACTATCTGTCTTTCTGTATGTGACGGCAAGTATGGGCCACTCTGCAAAGACACTCTGCAAAGTTGGGTTTGTTTCCTTGTCACTATAATGTACTGTTGGGAAAATGCTCTTAAACATATCCTGATAAAAATGAAGTCTTGACATCAACAAAGGTAAGAATTTAAATTTCAATTCAACAGACTCGATGTGGCTAGGACGTAAATAAAGGACTCAGTGGTACATAAAATCAAACACTTTTGGAGAAATGAAACAAAACTAATTATAGTGATCTCAGGTTATAAGAGTCTTATTGTCAGAGTTAAAATTTAGTAAATATAATCACTACTACACAATAATCCAGTAAATATACAGCAAAAACCTTGGAAACGAAAATAACTGAACTAAGAGACATTAAAAACAGAATGGGTGCAGTAACTGATTAGGACTCCGAGTGTCGCTGTTCACCAGACTGGGAAAGAATCCGTCCTGGAAGCGACCAGCTCCCAGCTTCCTCCGCACCAGAGACTAGACAAGCTCCTAGCTGGGGAAAGCCACCCAACCTAAGTCCTCTAGGAAATACGCTCTCCCCATCGTCAGAGAAATAAGAAAACAGCAGGCTGAACCTGGATTGAGAGGAAAACGAAAAGACAATGGCGGATCCACCCAGACGCTGGAGCTGCAGCGACCTGCTGAAGCTCTTCACGCTGCTGGGGACGCTGTGCGCGCCAGGAAAAGGGCAGATCCGCTACTCGGTGCGGGAGGAGCTGGACAAAGGTTCCTTCGTGGGCAACATCTCCAAGGACCTGGGGCTGGAGCCCCGCGAGCTGGCGGGGCGCGGGGTCCGCATCGTCTCCAGAGGTAGGTCGCAGCTTTTCTCGCTGAGCCCGCGAGGTGGCAGCCTGGTCACCGCGGGCAGGATAGACCGGGAGGAGCTGTGCGCCCAGAGCGCGCCCTGTCTTGTCAGCTTTAACATCTTGGTTGAGAGGAAAATGAAAATATATGGGGTAGAAGTGGAAATCCTTGATATTAATGATAACTTCCCCCGGTTCCGCGATGAGGAGTTAAAAGTAAAAGTTAATGAGAACGCGGCTGCAGGGACACGATTGGTGCTCCCCTTCGCGAGAGATGGGGACGTGGGTGCGAATTCCCTCCAGGGTTACCAGCTCAGCTCCAACCCGCACTTCTCCCTGGACGTGAAGAGCGGGCCTGACGGGCAAAAACATCCAGAGCTGGTGCTAGAACAGCCCCTGGACCGCGAGAAGGCGTCCGCTCACGACCTGGTCCTCACGGCCCTGGACGGCGGAAACCCGGCGCGTTCCAGCACCGTCCACATCAGCGTGGCCGTCCTCGACGCAAACGACAACGCACCCCGGTTCACGCAAGGCGAGTACCGCGTGAGTGTTCCCGAGAACATGCCTGTGGGCTCGCGACTCCTCACTCTCACCGCCACCGACGCCGACGAGGGGGTCAACGCCAAACTGACCTTCTCCTTCCGCAACGAAGAAGACCAGATCTCTGAGACTTTCCAACTCGATTCCAATCTGGGGGAAATCTCAACCATTCAGTCCCTGGACTATGAAGCATCCACTTCCTACCTCATGGAGGTGGTAGCCCAGGATGGAGGCGCTCTTCTTGCCAGCGCTACGGTGCTGGTCACAGTCCAGGACGTGAATGACAATGCCCCGGAAGTGATACTCACCTCCCACACCAGTTCCGTTTCTGAAGACTGTCCACCTGGAACCATAATTGCGCTCTTTAGCGTGCACGATGCCGACTCTGGGGAGAACGGAGAGATTTCGTGTTCTATTCCCAAGAATTTGCCCTTCAAACTGGAAAAGTCAGTAGACAATTACTATCACCTGTTAACAACTGGAGCCCTGGATAGAGAGGAGACTTCAGATTATAACGTCACAGTAACCGTTGTTGACCGTGGAACTCCTCCCCTGTCCACAGAGAACCACATCTCTCTGAAAGTAGCCGACATCAATGACAACCCACCCACCTTCTCCCGTTCCTCCTATTCCACCTCCATCTCAGAGAATAACCCCAGAGGTGTGTCCATGTTTTCAGTGAGTGCCTACGACGCCGACTGTGGAGATAACGCTCGGATCTCTTACTCCCTGGCTGAATATACCTTTCTGGAAGCCCCGGTGTCGTCCTACGTCTCCATTAACTCTGACACCGGTGTCCTGTACGCATTGCAGTCCTTCGACTATGAGCACCTGAGAGACCTGCAGCTATGGGTGACAGCTAAGGACAGCGGGAACCCTCCACTCAGCAGCAACGTGTCGTTGAGCTTGTTTGTGCTGGACCAGAACGACAACATTCCCGAGATCCTGTACCCAGCTCTCCCGACCGATGGGTCCACCGGTGTGGAACTGGCTCCCCGCTCTGCAGAGCCTGGATACCTGGTCACCAAAGTGGTGGCGGTGGACAAAGATTCCGGACAAAATGCCTGGCTGTCCTACCGCCTGCTCAAGGCCAGTGAGCCGGGACTCTTCTCAATAGGGCTTCACACGGGTGAGGTGCGCACAGCGCGGGCTCTATTGGACAGAGATTCACTCAAGCAGAGCCTGGTGGTGGCTGTCCAGGACCATGGCCAGCCCCCTCTCTCGACCACTGTCACCCTCACTATCGCTGTAGGGGATAACATCCCGGATGTGCTGACTGACTTAGGCAGCAACAACACCCCTGCCGAGCCCCAGGAGTCAGACCTCACACTCTACCTGGTCATATCCGTGGCAGTGGTGTCCTGTGTCTTTCTGGGGTTTGTCACTGTGCTGTTGGCCCTCAGACTGAGGCACTGGCACATGTCACGCCTGCTTCAGACTTCCACAGGCAGATTGGCCAGCATGCCCACCTCCCATTTTGTGGGCATGGATGAGGTACAGGCCTACCTGCAGACCTATTCTCATGAAATCTCCCTCACTACAGACTCCAAAAAAAGCCACCTAATCTTCCCCCAACCCAATTATGCTGACAGGCTCATCAGTGAAGAGATCAGTGAAAAGAGTGAGCCTCTTCTGATACCTGATAATATACATGCAAACAAAGAGCCAGGAGCTGTTCAGGTTAGTTCTCTCCTTCACTAAGAGCTCGAACGTTTTCTTCATTTGTTTTCTAACTTGCTTTTCTAGTATAGTCAAAATCGTGTAATTTTATAGTAAGTCATTTGCTGTATTGGATTTTAACTCAATTTTGTTCAATAATAGATACTTTTTCAAGTTTTTTGGGGGGGCTTAATATCTTTTCTGGGTGTGTGGATGTTTTAGAAAACCTAGCTGATGATAGTAGGCTTACCTTAAAATAAGTGATGAACATAATCGTTTTCCTTAAAATGTTGCTAGTTTAAAGATCATTATTCTGTTACTAGAAGCTTGCATTAGTTCCAACTGTTATATGTTTGTGTGTGTATATATACTTCCCTTTGACATACTTGTCTACACACTATTAGTGGACAGGTTTTGTAGGTGTGATGGCTTGGGTGAGAATGGCCCTCGTAGGCTCACATACTGAAGTGCTTAGTCACCAGGGAGTGGAAATATTTGAGAAGGATTATGAGGTGTGGCTTTGTCGAAGCAGGTGGATCCACTGGGAGTGGGCTTCGGGATTTCAAAAGTCCTCTAAAACTGTAAACAAGCCACCCCCAATTAAACGTTGTCTTTTAGTCAGGCAGTGATACTGCACACCTTTAATCCCAGCACTTGGAACACAGAGGCAGGTGGGCCTCTGAGTTTGAGGACAGCCTGATCTATTGAGTGATTTCTGGGACAACCAAGGATACACACAGAGAAATTCTGTCTCCAAAATAAATAAATAAATAAATAAATAAATAAATAAATAAATAAACACTTATTTCTTTTATAAGTTGTCTTCATCATGATGTCTCTCCACAATAATATAACAGTAACTAAGACAGTAGAGGATTTTGTATGTGCCTTATATTTTAGTGTACTGTAGATAACAATTTGCAGTATTTCCACAAATCAGTAGACAGTAAGGAAAACTTATGTTCAATTTATATCAGAAATGTAGATTAGATTTATACCAATGATAAAAATCACAACATTCCAAAATCAAAGAGGTCTGGGCCAACCCATATAATTATTGCAAATGTGTCTTTATTGGGAAAATATATCCGTGAGAAGTAACCTTAGAATTCTGTTTTATTCTGTGACATATGTTAAGGTCTCCAAAGAGTTACATACTGCTATGTTCAACTGGTATGAATGTGTCATGCCCCTCGGCGCCTACTGGTTTCTGCTTCTTCACTTATCAAAATCAATATCTCTCAGAATGTTTACATTCTCCAAAGTAAATGCAAATCTTCTTTGTTATAAGAGTCTAACATTTGTATTCAAGAAAGTCAACATGACTTAAAGATGCTTTACATTTTAAAATTCACCTCTTAAGGATGAGCCTTTTTTTTTTTCTTAATAGAACACTTGTTTCTGGGTCTCAAACCTCAGGAACAGGGATTGTATAAAGGAATAACTACTCAATTCATTTTCTGGACCTTTCCATGTGCCCTTTGCTAACTTACTCTTTAACTAGGAATAAATGGTAGAAATTAAATGTATATTAATTAAATATATATTAGTAGTGGGATTATAGGTTGTTTCAGAGACACATGAAAGGTTTATTAACACACTTAAAATGCAGGAGCACTTGATTTTTAATTTCTAAACATGTAAAGGACACCCAGACTATATACATTCTTCTGATAACAATAGGAACCACAGACATTAGATAACAGTATGAACAGCAGACTTGCCCTAAGAACTAATGGATTAGAAAACTAAGATTATGTATGTGAGCAGAGATGTTCATGTCATTCACTTCTTCATGGAAGTGTGTGTGTGTGTGTGTGTGTGTGTGTGTGTGTCTGTCTGTCTGTCTGTACCCAGGTGCCTACGTGTCTGCAGGTGCTTATGGAGGTCAAGGACAATGTCAGGTATTGTCCTTCAGGCACCTTCCACCTTATTATTGAGACAGGGTCTCTCATTGGCCTGAACCTCACCAGGCAGGCTAGACTGTCTGGCCACGGAGCCCCAGAGATCTCCTGTCTCTGCCTCCCCAGTACCAGGAATGCAAGCACTTGCCACCATGCCAGCTTAAAACACACACACACACACAAACAGTTTAACAGGCTGAAACTCAGGTCCTCATCCTTTCAAGGCAAGCACTTCATTGTCTGAGGTACCTCCTGAAGTGGAAGTTTCTGGTTTCTTTGGAAACTCAGTTGTATCATGTGAATATGTTTTTTGTTTTGGTCCCAAGTGTGGGGTATGTGAATGTTCTTCCCCTCTCCCCAAGGAAAATGGGCCCCACAGAAAACAGCCCTCTCAGAAAATAGTCCCCTTGAAAATGCGAGTGGTGTTTGTCAGCTGAAAACTACCTCATACGAGAGTTTTCTGTGAGCTGGAAAAAAATCCTTGTATGAACTCTGAGAAGGGATAAATAGAAGTCCACAGACAGTGAGACAGCACTTTTTGCATCTCTATGTTTTGCAACAGTTTGCATCGCTCTGCTGGTTTTCACAGAGACAAATGCTCCAGAGAACTTTTCTTGCTGCTTGGAGTTTTGCCGCTTTGGCAGACTCATGCCATTTGGGCAGAGTCTTGCAGGTTTTGCTGAGTGGTACCACCTCTGTTGCTGTTGCTGGTCTACTGGTACCACTGTGGTTTGCTGCTTTGCTGTTTGACTGGACTGCTGGTACCCTGACGACTGAAGTTGGTATACCCCCAAAGAACCCAATGACCCTAAGCAGCAGGAAGTAGCTCAAATCAGTCTATAGCCTCTCTCCCCACTAATCACTTGACTAGGATGTGGGTGGGGGTGGAAGGGACGTAGAGACATTTAAGAACCTTAAATAAAGCAGGTGTCTGAAAAATATAAGCCTACAATCTTCCCATCCCTTTTCCATTATTTATAAAGACAATGTTTATGTTTGGTTATGTATGCTGAGACAAGCTTTGTGCAAGGGAAAAACATCCTTTAAATCCCTGTAAACAACTAATAGACGTCATATTAAAAAAAAAATACTTGTCCCCTACACTGTAAGCCTGTATACCATATATACATTATAGTCTTTTATTAGTTGTATGTGTGTTCTGAAAAGCTAGCTTTCCCATTAAAATGAAGTACTCATATAATAGTGGAGAGCAACTTTTCTTGTATAAAATCTTGTTAAAATCCTGTTTTGGTGACATTTCTACTGTTTGGGTAAAGTACAGATACTGAGGCAGGAGAAATGGCTCATCCAGTACTTACAGTGTAAAGCACACTAAGGTTTGAGGGATGGCTTATCAGCTAAGAGCGTCTGTTGCTCTTGCACAGAACTCCAGCTGGGTTTCCAGCACCCATATGGCAACTCATAGCTGTCTGTAACTTCAGTTTCAGGGAGTCCTGACACTCCTATGGTCTCCAATGTTTCCAAGCATACACACAATACATATACAAACAGACAACACATCTATACACATAAAATAAAAATAAATAAATTTTAAAAGAACCTATGTACAACCAAAAAAAAAAAAAAGAAGATATGTACATGTCTGTAGTCCCAGTGCTGGGAAAGAGGATGAAAGAGATGGAGAAGGAAGGGTCTGTGGGACTTGATGTCCAGTCAGAATGACCCATCAGTGAGCCCCATGTTCAATGAAAGACCCTGTCCCAAAAAATAAGAAAGTGATAGAAAAAGACAGAAAGGGCATCTGACATAAGTCTATAAGTCTCTGCATAGCACACACCAAAACCAGTGAATAGTTGTCTAGGATCCTGGGCATAAGGAAGTTTAAGATGCTTTAATGCTTTCTGTTATAAAGTGAGACTGTGTTGCTGTACACCTGCCATGTTGTAGAATAACAATATAGTACATTAGTTAAAGGTATTTTCTTTATGTGTGTTTTCTAGTTTGAAAATCTAATTAAAACTATTAAACACTAGCTGATTGGTGGTGTCACACACCTCTAATCCCAGCACTCAGGAAGCAGAGGCAGATAGACCTCTGAGTTTGAGGCCGGTCTGATCTACAAAGTGAATTCCAAGGATAGCCAAGGCTACACAGAGAAACCCTGTCTCAAAAACAAACAAACAAACAAAAAACACTGTAAAGCACATGTCAGTTAAGAATGTTTATATGAGGCTCATCGTGGTGGTGCACTTCTTTAATCCCAGCACTCAAGGAGGCTGTGACAGGGGCCAGCCTGGTCAACAAAGTGAGTCCAGGAAAGCCAGGACTACACAGAGAGACCCTGTCTTAAAATACAAACAAACAAACAAAAATGTTTACATGAGCTGGGCATTATGGTGCACACCTTTAATTACAGCACTCAGAAGGCACAGCCAGACAGATCTCTGTGAGTTCAAGACTAGCCTGGTCTACATAGTGAGTTGCAGGAGAGTCAGAATTATGTGAGAAACCCTGTCTCAAAAAAATAGTTTCAATGATCATATAGTAAACTGGGAACTAAGGAAAAATCAACATTAATAATAATGTCATATATATATATATATATATATAATATTTTTTTAAATTCATATCTCAGCTCCCAAATGCAGATAATTTACCACGGTTCATCTACTTGGGGCCAGGTGAGTTGATGCATGGCTTTCATTTCAGTGCTCAGGAAACAGAGACAGGCAGATCTCTGTGAGTTCAAAGCCAGCCTGGTCTACAAAGTGAGTTCCAGGATAGGCAGAACTGTTACACGGAAAAGCACTGTCTCAAAAAACCGAAACCAAACAAACAAAAACGAAGCAAAAGGCCATAACCAAACAACAACAACAAAAAAAACAAACTACTTGGGAAAAACAATACAATTTAGAATAATTGTAACGAGGTGATGAACAATACTATTTGTGAATTACTTTTTATTGCATGAGAGTTTCATACACGAATAAGATTTTTTTATCAACTCCCATTTCTCCCCTTCAAATCCTCTCTTAATATCCACACTTTTCCTCCTAATTTTATGTTCTTTTGTAAAATAACTTCACTGAGTCCTCTCAAAACTGCTTGTAAAAAATGGATAGCATCTCAGAGCCCACATTCCTGAAGAAAACTAAATCTCTTTCTCCCAGCAACTATCAATTACCAACAACTCCTCAGATAAGGATGGGGGTTTTTGAGCTCCTTCTCATCCATGACAGTATTTTGGTTTGCTTGATCTTGTGCAAGTCTTGTGCATTCAGTCTCAGCTGCCGTGAATATGTGTGTGCAATGGCATTCTCATGTCCAACAATTCTGTTTTCCTACAGATGTCTTCTCCCTCTGGCTATTACAAACTTTCTACACCCTTTTCTGTGATGACCCCTGAACTCTGGAGGAAGGGGATCTAGTGTAGATGTCTCATTAATAGCTGAACACTCTGTAGTCTCTTATTCTCTGCATGTTGGTCACATATAGGCCTCTTTGTTATTCACTACCTACTACAAAAAAGAAGCTTCTCTAAGGAAGACTGAGATATGTACTAATATATGACTATAAAGATAAACAGTTAAGGGGCAGTTTATTACCATGTCCTGTTAGCAGAATAATGGTACTAGCGCCAATGACTTTAGCCAGCCATGGAGTTTTGGCTCAATTAATGGTACCAGGAATGAGTCCTGTCTTGTGATTGGTTTTTAATTCAATCAGAGAGTTGTTGGTTGCTCCTATAACATCCATGCCATTGTTACATTAGTGAACATATATTGCCAGGTCAGCTGTTATTGTAGATCACAGGATTCACAGCTG